CTGCTGGGGGCCCCTCTGGGCTGGCCTAGCTCTCTACACTTGGCCACAGTCCCTTCCAATCCCTACAGACCCCACGGTGAGGCAGAGTGTGTGTGCTGTTTGTCCCTTGGCATGAGCTTCTATGTTTCCGGTGCCCATCTGTCTCCCACATTTGTGTGACTTCTATGACCTCTGCTGGGATTTGAACTTGTGACCTTTGACAAAGGGATGATCTTTTGCTCCCCGTGAACCCCATCCCCACTCCCATCAAAATTTGGGAATCGTGGACACTTCTGTTAGCAATCTCAAGATCCACGTGATGCCTTTTAGCCCAAAAGAGGTGCTGGACATCCAGCGATACCTGGGTTGGTGGGATTTCTCCCCAGACACAAATAAATCTGAATGTGCATGCGTGTGTCATCTGTGTCCCTTCCCTTGGCTTCTCCAAAATCCTTTCCACACAGCCTGGAGAGTGCAGGTCTGAGTGGCCAAGGCGCAAGCTCTGTGGTCCTTGTAATTTGGGGGACTCCTTTGAGACTACCAAGTTCAAGCCTCTGCCTGAGTCCCACTGAATGACAACATTGAGCTGACTCGAGCCCTCCTGGTGAAGTGGTGCGTCTGACCCTCGCCAGGAGTCCTGCTGCTACTTTCAGGGTGTCTCAGCAGAGGGCATTAGAAACAACCGAGTATCAGATTTGAGCTTTGGTTGGGTGGGGGAGTCTTAGGAAGCAGGGATTTGCCTGGATTGGCTCTTACCAGAAATCGAGTCAACACCACGACTAGGTTTCTGACTAAATCCTATATATAGAGAGGGGGGGCACACAGACAGACAGGCTGTCAGGGGTACAAAAGCGGCAGTCGCTCACGTTAGCTGAGAGAGGGGGTGCTGGGTGTCTTGTAAATGGCACAGCAAGTGACCTCGCTTTACCTGGGTGGAGACACATCATGACGTGGCCTTGCTTTGTCTCATGTCATTGTGTCTCAGTGACCTTGGCCTAGGTTGGTTTTCTGCGTGATGGTTCAAGTCTTACAGAACAGAGTGGCCCAGCTTTAGCCCCCGACCAGTTTCTGGATGGCAGGGGCTGCCCTTTTTCTTTCTCAGTCCTCTTCATTTTACAGATGAGGAAACTGAGGCACAGAGTTGTGATAGTTTAAAGATGGCTGCAAATTATTTCCAGTACCTCCCATTGAGAGGTGGAGTACAAATTCCCCTTGCCTGGGTCTGCAATGTCTTATGACTTACTTTGATCACGAGAATGTGGCATAATCAATGCTGTGCAACGTCTGGGTCTGGGTCCTAAGAGAGGGCTGCTGGAGTTCTAGCAACATACCCTCTGAGAGGCCAGCTGCCATGCTGGGGCACCTGGTGAGCTGTGTGAAAGACCAGGACAGCAGCAGCCTCCAGACCCTGCCTTACAGCAGTGACAGACCCAGTGGCGGTCTGCACTGTCCAGTGTGGTAACTGCAGGCTGTACACAGTGTGTTCAGTACTTGACATAGTATTTGACACAGAGAGGAACTGAACTCTAAAATTTGATTTTTTAATCCATGTAAATCAAATTTGATTATATTTAATATAAATGTACAGTAAGGAATCTCTTAATGAGCACTTAATGAATACTTTCTGAGAAATGCATTAATAGATGATTCCATCATCGTATGCATGTCATAGAGTATCCTTTCACAAACCTAGATGGCACAGCCTACTACACACCTAGGCTATGTGGGATAGCCTACTGCTCCTAGGCTATACACCTGCACAGCATGGTACCATGCTAAATATGCCAGGTAACTGTAACACAACAGTAAGTGTTGTGTCTCTAAACATAAATATAGAAAAGGTACAGTAAAAATAAGCTATTTACATAAAATATAAAGAAATGGTACAACCGTATAGGGCACTTACCATGAAAGGAGCTTGCAGGACTGGGAAGTGCTCTGAGTGAGTCACTGAGTGAGTGGTGAGTGAATGTGAAGGCCTCGGGCATGACTGCACTACCGTAGACTTTATAGACACCGGACACTTAGGCTATACTACATTTATTTTAAAATATTTCTTTTTCTTCAAGTTGGGCATGATGGCATATGCCTGTAGTCCAGTTAATTGGGAGGCTGACCTGGAAGGACTGCTTGAGGCCAATTGGAGGCTGAGTTATGACTGCACCTGTGAAGAGCCACCACACTTCAGCCTCAGCAACATAGGGATGGACTTGCTGGCTCATGTGGAGATTATGTTTAGCTTTCTGCAGAACTGCCAAACTGTTTTCCACACCGCACCATTATACATTCCCACCAGCAATATGTGAGGGTTCCAATTTTTCTATATCCTGTTTTTTAAAAAATTACCGCTATTTTAGTAGGTGTGAAGTTGTATCTCACTGTGTTTTGATTTGCATTTCCCTAATGATTCATGATGTTGAGCCTCTTTTTATTTGCTTATTGGCTGTTTGTATTATCTTCTTTGGAGAAATGTGTCTATTCAAACCTTTGCCTTTTAAAAAAGTGGACTATTTGTCTTCTTGTTGAGTTAAAAGAGTTCTTTATATATTCCAGATAGTAGATCCTTATCAGATACACGATTTGCACACTCTTCTCCCATTCTGAGTTGTCTTTTCACTGTTTTATTGGTGTCCTTTTACCTGAGTAAGTTTTTAATTTTGATGAAGTCCAAGTTATCTATTTTTCTTTCTTATGCTTTCAATATTATATCTAAGAAACTATTCCCTAATACAGGGTCACATAGATTTACACCTATTTTTCTTCAAATAGTTTTATGCTTTACATGTAGGCTTTTGCTCTATTTTGAGTTAATTTTTGCCTCTGATGAGAGATACAGGTCCAAATTGGTTCTTTTGCATGTGGAGATCCAGTTGTCCCAGTGCCGCCATTGTTGAAATGACTATTCTTTCCTCCACTGAATGGTCTAGGAACAATATGCTTTTGGCATAAACTGATATATTTAATGGATGTATCCTATTCTTTTTAATATTATAATTTGTGTTGCTTCTAAAAAATACTGTTAATAATAAAGCATTCATGTATTTAATAAATGTGCATCAACAGTCTTCCTGGGCACACACCGTGAATAGGACACAGTTCCTGGGCTCCAGCAGACTACATTCCAGAGGGGGAGAGGCAGTGAAGGAGCAGGGAAGGAACACACAAAACAGCGGGTGATGAGAGCTCTAAGAGCAAACAGATCAGACAGAGGTGGGAATACGGGACTGGTAAGCATGTGCTTTGGATCAGAAGGGCCGCAGAGTCCTCCCGGAGGAATCAGAATCAGCTGCGCCAAGTCTCTGAGGCTGGAACCAGCTTGGCCTGCTGGATGAACTGGGAAAAAGAGGTGGGGTGCGGGGGAAGGGTGGGGGCAGCGGGAGAGTGGCGGGAAGTGAGGGAAACAGGTCGGGGAGGGTAGACTAGCAAGGCCATAGGCGCCTTCGGGAGTAAGGTGGGGGTGAGCATAATTTGATGTGCAATTTTTAGATCATAAAACCGTGCCCCATGGACGGGAGCGAGTGGAGCGGAGGGAGACCGATGACCAGCTAGTAGTTATTTTTCAAGTACCCAGGAATAAAGTGCGGGTTTGGATCTGAGTGGTGGTGAGGTTGAAGTGGAGGAGTCCAGATTGAATGTGGAGGTGCACGGTGAGGTGGGAGAGGGCAAGGAACGGAAACAGTAAGTAATTCAGCTGTTGCAGAGTGAGGTTGTGTCAAGTTTAGTAGGAAATACAGTTGGAAATACAGACAGGGGTCCTACCTATAGGGAGGCCCCGTGTGCCCAGCAAGGACCTGGGCCAAAGCAAACGAGGTCTGTGCGCCAGCGGCGGCGGGCAGGCTTGCACTTAAGTGAGCTGGGGGTAGGCATCCAGCTTGTTGGACAGGTTCGAATCCTGAATCTGCCGGCTGCCAACTGTGTGTGTGACTCAAGCTCTCCGTACCTGTTTCCTCACCCCTGGGTGACCGCGCACGCTTAATCAGCTCAGACAGGCACAGCCCCTGGGACGCCATCAGTGCTTACGAGAGGCTGCTTGTGAAGTGTCTGAAATACTAATATGACTCGAAGTCAGACAAACTTCGACTCCCATGCCAGCGGGAACAAGAGGGAAGAGCTCACTCAGCTTTCGGAGCCTCACCCAGTCCCCGGCTGTCCCGCGCCCCGCCCTCCGCCCTTTACGCGGCCGGTGCTCC